CGCCAGGTAGAAAAGCGTTGTCGATCCTTGGTTTGAGAGCGGGGAAGACGACAACGAAGTCTTTCGTCCAGATTGTCGTCGTGGTGGAATATTCCTACAGCATTATTGGTCAGACGACGGAGATGGACTGGACTAGCGACTCAACTGCTGGCGCAGGAGAAGCCCGAGCTCAGGCCGGGTTATGTACCAGGGAGAGGCTTATTGAGGCTGTTGCGGTCGGTGAGAGGCTCGGCGTATGCGCCTGAGACCTCATGTGGTTGCTGTTCGGGATGGCGGGCGGGGGGGAGAGAAATGATGCTGAGAGGTCACGGTCGTGTGACACACGACCGTGACCCCTCTCAGCACACGTCCTTCTCCTAGGCCTTCGATCTCGCATACGGTGATGGTGCCAGCTGCATACAGCGGTCCAGCCTAAGGCTTAAGGACCCACCAGCTCATCACCGCGGTCGGCTATCTGATCAACAATTTCAAGTATCGACAGACTGACGACAGTGGATTACATGATTGGAGGCGTTGTAGCCAATCACGTAAGCAACGACCGCAGACACCACAACCAATTTTTTTGGCCTTCCGTCCATTATAACTTGCTATTCAAACCTCAAACCAGACTTTTCTATGCCGACTCGATGGCTGCTTGTCGAACTCAAGAACTGCTACACCGGTGCTAAAACTCAAGTATGTTGGCGGGTTGTCGCTCTTACTGATTGTCCAGAGCGTCTTTGGCGTGGAGACTGGGCAGCATATACCGGGCTGCATATGTCTACCTATCCATCGCCTCAGATTGCATCCAGCCCCGAACTTGAGCTCAAAGTCGCGTCGCCAGTGGGTCCGACATGTACTATCAAACCTCTTCTTCTCCTTCATCAGGCGTCCTACGCTGCGGAGGTCTTCCGGTCTTGCCGCTCCCAACGGCTAATCAACACCCGGGCCCAGATAAATGCGTCTTGCGTGCGCTTGAAGGCACGGCGGTACTCGTCATTTCCACTCGACTCACTGCAGCATGGAATCAGAAGGCGCATAAGACGGGTAAATGGTCACGAAGGGATGTGATTTGGAGAGAAAACAAGTTTCTCGGGCGCTGATGTGGTGCGCATTCACCGGCGCTTGGAATCAGCGGTCGCAAACAGAACGCTCCAGTCTTGGTAGTCGCAAAAAGTGGTTGAATGCTCCGATTTGGCAGGAAATCAAACAAACACCGATGCAGGTGAACCTCCTTCGTCTCACTTTTGATGGTTCCTACTAAGATTGATAATTCGCTCAAGTTTACAGGCCCTACACCACAAGCTTGTTTGCATTGGCACTACTTGTGAGCGCTTACAGGAGGAGCTTAATCAAGATGAGAAGGAGCAGGATGGCCCTTCAGCAAAGAAGAGTCTCAAGTGTAAACAAACGGAATGTATCCTGTCTGACGATGTTAATGACAAGAATTCTCCCATTTTCGAGCGCAAAATCAGATCAATACTACTGATGTGGAATCCAAGGCTTGATTCTACACACCAGTACAGTAGACGACTTAAGCCTAGCTGTTTCTGTAGAATTGATTGTAGGCGCCGCATGTGTTTTTGTCCCAAGACCAAACCGCCAATTTTCAAGTTTCGCACCATATGGTTTGGTAGTCTTTCAAGTCTTATCCCGCACCAACGTAGGACTCATTCGGTGACCATTTACAGACCCGCGCCCGCTTTTATTTGATCGAAGGCTGGAATGAGTGGGAGTTGTCGTCAGCGGCTATGAATATCTCCCAAAAGATACAGACCTTCTGATTACGGACTGGCTTTTGTTTTCATGAACCGGGTTCGTGGCGGCGGGGTGGACGGCCGCTTTTTGCTGGATTAGCTATGGTTAGCCATCAACATATTAGCACACAAGTCGCACAACGATTTGTCGCCAGAATACTGCAGTTCAACCGCCAGCCAGGCGCGAGAATTGCGTGGTGTCAAGACACGATTTTGACGCTGCGTCTGGCGGTTTTTGAGTCCTGCGAGCAGCCATCATTGAGATCCATAGAATATAGGTGCATTTTGACTTGGATTTGGGGGTCAGAGAGTAATCAGGAACTCGGTTGCTTACGTGATTGGCGACAACACCTCCAATCATGTAATCCGCTGTCGATACTTGAAATTGTTGGACAGATAGCCAGCCGCGGTGATGAGCTGGTAGTCCTTAGGCCTTAGGCTGAACCGCTGTATGCAGCTGGCACCAGCACCATGAACATGGGAGATCGAAGCAGAAGGACAGACTAGGACGCGTGCTGTCACAAATTTGAATCAGGTGTGACTCGACCTCTCTCCGCGCCCGCCATTCCGGACACCAACCACATGAGGTCTCAGGCGCATACGCCAAGCCTCCCAGCGACCGCCACGGCCCACCATGCCTCTCCCATGTGCATATCCGAACTGAGCTCGCTGGCTCCTTCCGCAACTTATGGCTTCTACTCTATCTGGACGCTTCATGACTCGCCAATGTCAACGGTCTTCAACGCAGTCATACACGGGTAGGAGGGGAGTAAAGCGATGTTACGGGGCTGCAACAGTAGTCCTGTTCATAAATCGTACTTCCTCTCTCTCTCCAACTACATCGGCGATTGACAACACCGTCACTTCTAATAGCGAATAACACTTATGTATGGCCTTCCAACCTCCTTCCCCTTGCCTTGAGCTTCCTTCTCCGCATATTGTCCGCGTTGAGCTCCTCGAGTTTGCCTCTCCGCGTATTGTCCATACTCAGTGCCGGCTAGGCCTGGCACTCGAACGTAGGGCACAATCAAGTTTTGGACAACGGCTGCAAGGAATCCCAACACCATCAAGGGCCAAAATACTCGGTCCATAAACAGAGTATACCAAACTGTTCGTGACCTTTTGAACAGGATGATGTCTTCCTTGCCTTCGATCATACGACTTTTTGCGGCGAAAATGGTGGAAACCCCTTTGACATCTGCAACCTAGCGAAAGCATTGACCTATCGTTCGAATACTTATACGGAGGCAAATACTCACAGCGACAGCCTGGACCCATTCACCAGATTTTGCGACGGCAATCGTTTGCTCCCTTTCACCCGTGTTATAGTCAAATACATACACTTTGCCGTGATCACTTCCGGAGACAACTGTGGCACCTTGGTCGGCCCAGCGAATTTGATAGGGTCGAAACCATTCGCGTGTGTGCGGGACGTTGAGAGTTTGAGTACGAACGTCATCCGAATATCGGTATATGACCGGGCCAGATCTCATGTCCCCTAGCGCGTACACGCTGTTGTTGGAAGCAAGGAATCCGCTAAACAGCGCCTCAGTTCCGTTCAACCAGCGAACTATTACTTACATCCCTGCACCCACATCCCATATTTTCTTAATGTCGCCAGTGGCACCTTCCAACACTGAACTTTTGGGGAGGTGAGAGGTGACCAACTTTTAAATTTTGACTTACACACGGCCAGGCGTCACAGAACCATAAACGATTATTCCCCGCTCCGCTTCATTTGCGTTGTTGCTGAAATCAATCGCTCCTGGAGCGACTATCTTGACAGTGAAAAGGTGAGTGCTTTGCCACTTTCCCTCTTTGGGTGCATATATGGTCCAACAATGAACGCGGTCTTGTCGACACCGAAGGCTAAGCGGTTATTAACTGGTTCGTAAGCCAGACAGGTGATCTCAGCAGAGTCCTCCATCGCCATCATGAATACTTCTTCAAATTGCTAGCAAGGAGTCAGTCGAGGAAACGAAGCTATCACTGACGCACTCCTTGTGGATTGTGACGCCAGGCAGAGACAAAACCATTCTGGGTCCCAAACCATAGGATTTCGTCGACTTGGTCTATCTGACGGACCCATAGCAGAGAACACGAAGGACCGCGTTCCCCAGGCGGCGCAGGCCGAGAAATCTCCATCGTGGTGGAAGTATCCCAAACCCGAGTCCCTTCAAACCCTAGGCCAGGTCAATACACATCGCCTGGAAAGGTGTGCCGCTGTCGTACCTGCAGTCGCTAGATACTTGCCGTTAGATGAGGTCTCAAGGCACATAATGCCCCCGCCATGCTTGATGGTGCCCTGTTTGGTGTAGGGTGTACGGCCGAAGATAGGTCCAAACATGAGAGCCTGAGGGCCAAGATGTTACTGTTACGGCTGCAGCTGTACAAGCACCTCCTACCTGTCTTTGTGTAAGGTCGTGAAAGGAAGAAAGATGAGTGTCACGCACTGATCGCTTGCACGTGCTCGTCACATTACGCGTGCATACCAACACTTTGTATGTGGGATTGATAAGGCTGCTTTTTGCCTCTGAGCAGGCCAGTGTCAACGATAACTGTTGATGGTGGGTAACGGGAGACCCGTCGCAGTACTGTGTCGGGGTGGGCCCGAAATCGCTCCGGGAACTGGAACTCGAAAGCGCCAAGGCAAAGATGCCCCACGCGACGCAAACCCTCTGAGTGACCGAGGGAGTCGGACCACCCAAAAGCCGCGTGGGCAAAACGCGGCCAGCAGAGGCGCGTCCAGTGTCGTTGTAGACAAGACGCGTCGAGTAACGCTCATGTGCTAGCCTGCTGCTGCTAGCTTGCACTACTAGTAAACTGCTGAGTTGTGAATAGTTAACTGGAGTTGAGTCTAGTCTAGTTTTCCCTCCCCTTTCCCTCCTCTGGTTCCTTCCCGCCTTCTTTTGCACCGCTTTTCACTAACGAGCGGCGCCAGGTGGCCACCAGAAACTCGCAGAATCTACATAGAACCTTTTGCTCTTCTGGTGTCTTGATTGAAAACTAGCCTGTTTCGTCATAGCTCATGATTAGATAGGATGGAGCAGATGTATAATATGACTCTTTCCCGAAGGCAATGACTTCTCCTAGTTTAAGACATCAATTCACACATCTTCGCTGGTGTCATAGGGGATATTACCCGCCAGTTAACTCGAAGCATGATTGATAATAAGGCAACGAATACTGAGTGCAACGAAAAAAAAACAAGTTGTAATTTTTTACTATCTCTCAGCAAGTGTATTTCATCTGTCCATAGCACAATTATTGAGTAGTGTGAAAATGAGGCGCCGCCCCATGTGGCTCGACCGACGCAGTTCCCATAACATCACTATCATTCTCAGAAGAGTAGCTAACGGCCGCAGAGTCCCATTGCTTCTTGAGCTCATTGACGACGCTCTCTCTTTTCCATTTGATTGACAGGTCTTTGATCTTGGACCTGAGCGTTTCGCGCATGTCCGCGATTCCTTTCACTTTCCAGTCCGCCCGCCGATCCGCCTCAGGATATGCGCTGGTCCTGGTCTTTGCAAATCAGAATGGGCAGACTAGGGTCGGAACAAACACCCACCCTTATTATGTTGGCATATTTGTCGGGATCCTCGAAGAAGGTCTGGACGAAATGAAGAAGGTAAAGACCGCAATCGCAGGAGTTGGGCTGCTGTGGAACCTAAACATAAACAATGAGCAGCCATCATACCTACAAAAGTTAACGAACCAGCGCATGTTTGTATACTGCCTGGCTTAACCCAGTCTCTGGGATATTCTTCTTGGCCAATGCTTCTTGCCGCAGATAATTACCCAGAAGGCTTCCCACCTTGAATGACTTGACCCCAGGGAGTCAAGAGTAAAAATATAGGTGCTAACAAATTGTGAGGTATTTTCTCACTGTACTGCACGATAGCAACCATACCTCTGTTGATTTCCAACATGTTCGGTCGAGAAATCTACCTCCATAGGCTCGTCCACATCCAGATCATCCAATAGCGAGAGTGGCTGCCAGTGCGACCCGATATTGATATCCTCAAAGGTAGACTTCTCTGATATAGTTGTTGCTTTCAAGCTGGAATCTGGTCTTCGCATTCTTGATTCGCTGTAAGACGAAGGTGATGCTTTGATGTATGGCGGTTCTGGCCTCAAGACACATTCTGGGTGGTATATGATAGCAAGATACCAGTGAAGACTAGATTCGTTACCAGTCAGGAATGAATTTGAAAGATACCAACTTTTCATTTATAGGAACAATAAGGTATTTCTTCTTGAAGAGGTCGAACTTGGCGGTCCATTTAGCAACACTAGCGTAGCTTTCCTGTAGCCTGTGACTGGAATCATGAGACAGAACCATTATCTATATTCAAACGCACTCCCGCTGTTCTAATTTCTTGTAGAAAAACGAGCTGAAAATGTGGATCTCCTTCGCTAATTTCGCATCATCCTGCTCAAGCCGGTGCATCCAGAGCCTAGTCTTATAATGAGCAGTGAATCAAATAACCGTCAAAGAGACATTACTTGAGACTAAACTCGATGAGAGTGTCGTTGAGAAGGCCATTAGGTTGAAGGCGTATCAGGTCGCCCTTTGTGATGCTAATAGCCCCAGTCTGGCCAGAAGGATAAACGAGGATAGTCTGAAAGCCAGATATCAGCAGGTTTCCAAAGCATATTTTATGGGCGTAACACTTTGGAATCGGGATCGGATGCGATTTGATCGCCGAACTCAGACTCCCCTGTCGAATTTGGTGGGGACGCAATTTTGAGATAGCTTCAGAGTTGTTATGACTCTGGGCACCAATGACGCAGCTGGTCTGTGAGACAGAAAGGCGAGCATCGGGCTCCAGATAAACGACGGAGGATAGTTGCCCCGATTCTTGAGCTGGGGGTTTTAAGATCTTGTCCACCGAAAGGTGATCGTTCCATCCTCCCAGCTCGTCGTCGGATTCGTCCTCCTCATTCCGTATTACAGCTAAATCAACGCCCTTAATCCTCTCAGCATTGCGCGTTTGTATCGTTTTCCATACACTTTCGACGGCCATACCGACGCTATTTGACAGGTGGGAAATTTTGGGATTTCAAAGACGTAGAAAGACTCACCGCATTACACTTTTCTTGTCAACCAGCCGTTTCATCCATACCATAAATTCTTCATACTGGCCTCGAAAAGGCTTCCCCAAATTGACGGCAATTGTAACTTTGTCTCGGGATGCTCCTGTGAGAGTAAATATGATTAAAGCAGACAATTGCCTCATACAGACCTGGTGTGACTGGGAATATCTCCCTGAGATCTGTGGTCGCAAAGCGCTGGAGATCGCTGTTACGTCGCCTTGAGTATCGGCTGAGGATGAAAACTTGGTCGGAGGTTTCGTCAAACTCCATGTACTAGCTTGGGATTAACGGAGACAATTGTGATATTGAGGCGCACCTTGAGGTTGGCTGCCTCGGAAGACATGAAAATCTTGTCAGTGCGGGTGGCCTTTTGTGAAGGTCCTTCACTGGACTTGAGGGTCAATTTATTTCTCCCCCAGGCCAGATGATATGGCGGAGTGAGCCGAAAACCATCTATGTAGCCGTCCTTGATTGCCAGGAACTTTTTTCGTAGCGTTTGAGGGGAAAGTTTTCGCTGTCTCGCTGGTGTCTGATCCATTGGATTTCTTGCTTTTTGAGAGCAGGGTATCATCGAGTGCGTGAATGGTATTGCCGTTCGACAGGGCAGCCATTGTCGTTGAGTGCGCGCAGCCCTGAGCGACTGTAAGTAGTCACATTGTGATCAATAATTCGTCACAGTACTGGGAATGACGTCGATCGCTCTCCTGTCGGTCATCTCCGACTATAACAACGCAACTCTGCCACTTTCTCGGAATATTTGGTGAAGGCCGCTCCGGGAAAACCAAAATGGAGAGAGGCAACAAGGGAAAAGACTGCAAGAGCGATTTTGACGGGTGTCGTTGGGTTGAGTGTGCAAGACTTAAGCTGCATGGAGAGGATGGAGATACTTAAGAGGCTGCTAATACCCGCACGTCGGTGATCAAGGCGTTCGGTAGTTCTCGCTCCGTATTGTCTTCTTACTCCGAGTCGTATAGTGACCACGGGTCTCTCAAATGAATCTCCGTAATAATCATAGCCAGACTCTGAATCCACCCGCCAACAGGCAGCTGGCTGAGCTGGGGCATTCGACACGTAACGTGACCTGAGCCGGCTGCTCAAGTATGTACAACCCAAAGATTGGTTTTGTCAAAGAGTTTGGGCACGATATGGATATCGACCCAACTTTACCCGTTCCTTCCGAAAAGCCAGTTCGAGTAGCCTGGTTGGTTTCGAATGCGGATGTTTTGCTGGAAGTGCATGAGCGCGGCAATTGGGAAGTATATTTAACCTTGAATCAGCACATTAAAGGAACACACCCGCATGTTGAACGAATCCAAGATGACTTCATATTCCTGCCTGATATGTCTTCCTCCTTATCGCCAGCCCGGGAAAGAGTCTCGGATTCCGCCTCCATTCCCTTTCACTGCGGATGCGCTTTTGCCGTATGCCAAGCTATGGAAAAGTATGAAGTATTGCAAAGAATCGTCTCATAGTTACCAAAAAGATGGGCTCAGCAGAAACGGACGCTTATGAATGGCAAGGGAAGGGTGAAATGTATATTGCATTGCTTGAAGGGTACTGTAACAGGAATTTACGGCGCAGGAGGGCGTGCATCCCAGAGTTGGTCGCTTGTCCGAATTTGGGGGATTGGTTGGTTCAGAAAAAACTTAATTCTTGACCGAGTTCGGACCGGGAAGGGGACATCGATCATACGGCATAAGCTTGTGACAGATATATTTAAGCAATCGGTTTGAGTTGGGTGGAGGAATATAACCGTCGAGCCTCTAAGCATTGGAATTAGGTTTACCAGAGTCTCTTACCTGTGAGCCTGGAGAGCAATATTCGCCCAAGTCGTGCTTGACAGTATATGGTGACATGTCGAACGAAAATCGTTTTAGAAGAGCTATGAGAGCGCATATCTTATGCCTATGAGATACGTAAGATATCGGCCAAGATTTGGGGGGGGGGCTACCTTCGCCTCTATTCCAAATTTGGCAGTACTTGTCGAGCTTGTTTGAGACTTTAGAGACCGCCTCTCAAATCTTTCCCGAGACATCATCAGTGGATGTTAGGAGGTGAGTGTCGAGTTGGTGCGGATCGCATGTGCTCAAGCTACTATTTTGAAGTGGGCATTGAAGCTGTCGCCATTCCGGGCACTCTAGGAATCGCAGTCGAGAGACACAAACAAGGCTGGTACGTTTTGTTGCGGTAAGTGAGCCAATGTTGATTGGAATCAACGGAAATCTACCGCCAGTTCCTTGCGGGTGTCGCGGATATATTGAGCGAATTGTCGAGGATATGCTGGTGTGTCAATCGTGCGTTCCGTAACTTGATCCTGTGCTCGAGCAGCCATCTCCATCATATCGACGAGTGTTTCCTTCAGCCAGATGAGTTTTGGGAAACAGATCACGTAGCGCCAGCTGAACAAGTCTATCGTTGCTGAATCGTTGCTAAGATGACAGAGAGCGGTGGCGCCATGTTGAGTCCTCAACAGCTACACCATCCAGCGTCGTTTGTTTCATCTTCGCGGCCTCCCGGCGCTGGGCAGCGTCACTTGGTAGCATCGATATGAATCCAGTATCTTCACAAAACTTGAGGTATTTAGGCTGCCGCTTCTTCGTCAGCGAGATGCCAGATAGAGGAAATAACTTACTCGATGATTCGTCTCGAGAAAGAGTCGTTCTGGTTTTCTTCGTAATTCTGGAGCCATTCAAGCCACATGTTATCCCAGACAGCAAGGACGCACCGGTATGGAATGCAGTCGAAGTGGGTATTTTTCTTCCCACCGTCCATCGGAGTCGGAATCGGCTTCAGCATGGACACGAACAGTCGTGTTTCCTGCGTCGTTTGAGGATATTGGTTTGCCAGCCTTCATTCGTGCCGAGAAGTGTGCTGTTCTATTCATCCACATGGAGGAACGCGTCTGAAGGGGAGAAATTTGTTGGACGGCTGCTGGGAAGGGGTGAAGACATCTAGGATCGATATTTGTTCTTGGCTGTGTGGGGGGTCGGGCCGCAAGGATTAGGGATGAACTAGGCGGGGCGTTGGGGTTTTCAGTTGGGATGCTTGTCGAGCCGCCACATCGATTTGCTAAAGGGAGAGATAGAGGATATTCCTAAAGCATTATTCAAGGTTGGTCAGACAGCGGAGATGGACTGGACTGGCAGCTCAACTGCTGGCGCAGGAGAAGCCCGAACTTGTTGGGGCTGGGGCTGTTGCGATCGGTGAGAGGCTCGGCGTATGCGCCTGAGACCTTATGTGGTTGCTGTCCGGAATGGCGAGAGAAATGTGGGACAGCAATTGTGACAGCATGTAAATGAAATGTGTGACAGCACGCGTCCTTCTCCTTCGATCTCAGCTGGTGCCAGCTGCATACAGCGGCCCAGCCTAAGGACCCACCAGCTCATTCTCGCAACTTTCTCACCGCGGCCGACTATCCGTCCAACAATTTCGAGCATTGACGGCGGATTATACACGTTGTAGCCAATCACGTAAGCAACCGAGCTACGTCCCCAAAATCCAAGTCAAACTGCACCTGTCTTCTGTGGATCTCAACGATGGCTGCTCATAGGACTCCAGAACCGCCAGACTTGGCGCTAAAAATTGTGTCTTGGCCCAGACGACGACCGCGCAATCGCTCGAAGGCTGGCATGTGAAGTACAGTATTCTCAAGAACGGCTAGCGTGGGCTTTGGGTTATCATCGGTACCGTTCGGAGGGCACCGCAAAATCGTCACGACATAAGGTCTCTCTCATTCCAGCCTTCGGTTAAACAAACACGAGCACGCGGTCTGGCGATGGTCACTGAATGTCCGAGTCAGGATGGGTCCTACGTCGAGTTTCCAACTGATCAAGACGCCGAGGCGCATAACTTGTAGTCAGTCTCGTGAGTTTTTGACGAACCACACTGACTGATCATAATGATGTACAGAAAACTCGGTCGCAAACCCGCATGAACACTGAATTGTCTGGCATCAAACCCGATTGCTAGCGCTGAGCGGAAACCATTATATTCAGGCAACTTCACAGAGAATCCGGTCTGCGAAACCAGTTGAGTAGTCCTCAGGCTGTCCTTGACTACGATATAGACTGATTTTGTCAAGTTTCCGTCACCAATCGGAAATCACCGCAATCCAGTAAATAACGCTCCAGATCATGTGTGTAGTTATTTTCAACAGCACTATTTTCCCCCTTGATTGACTAATCTCAGAACATTGGTGATTCCAACGATGGAGAGACGGAGTCCCAAATCCACTCTTCTAAGGAAGAATCACATCAATCCAGGGTCAGTCTCTGGAAGGAAGGATATATATCCACACGCAATGTAATGCCTACCATACATCAATGTAGAAGCCAAATAACGAAAACAAAAAGACTGGAGCGTTCTGTTTTGCGACCGCTGATTCCAAGCGTCGGTGAATGCGCACCACATCAGCGCCCGAGAAACTTGTTTTCTCTCCAAATCACATCCCTTCGTGACCATTTACCCGTCTTATGCGCCTTCTGATTCCATGCTGCAGTGAGTCGAGTGGAAATGACGAGTACCGCCGTGCCTTCAAGCGCACGCAAGACGCATTTATCTGGGCCCGGGTGTTGATTAGCCGTTGGGAGCGGCAAGACCGGAAGACCTCCGCAGCGTAGGACGCCTGATGAAGGAGAAGAAGAGGTTTGATAGTACATGTCGGACCCACTGGCGACGCGACTTTGAGCTCAAGTTCGGGGCTGGATGCAATCTGAGGCGATGGATAGGTAGACATATGCAGCCCGGTATATGCTGCCCAGTCTCCACGCCAAAGACGCGTCGGACAATCAGTAAGAGCGACAACCCGCCAACATACTTGAGTTTTAGCACCGGTGTAGCAGTTCTTGAGTTCGACAAGCAGCCATCGAGTCGGCATAGAAAAGTCTGGTTTGAGGTTTGAATAGCAAGTTATAATGGACGGAAGGCCAAAAAAATTGGTTGTGGTGTCTGCGGTCGTTGCTTACGTGATTGGCTACAACGCCTCCAATCATGTAATCCACTGTCGTCAGTCTGTCGATACTTGAAATTGTTGATCAGATAGCCGACCCGCGGTGATGAGCTGGTGGGTCCTTAAGCCTTAGGCTGGACCGCTGTATGCAGCTGGCACCATCACCGTATGCGAGATCGAAGGCCTAGGAGAAGGACGTGTGCTGAGAGGGGTCACGGTCGTGTGTCCACACGACCGTGACCTCTCTCAGCATCATTCTCTCCCGCCCCGCCCGCCATCCCGAACAGCAACCACATGAGGTCTCAGGCGCATACGCCGAGCCTCTCACCGACCGCAACAGCCTCAATAAGCCTCTCCCTGGTACATAACCCGGCCTGAGCTCGGGCTTCTCCTGC